CAGAGCAAAACTCATGTCCTGTGTCCTCTTGTCTCCGCCTGAGCCCTGTCTGCCACCCCACCCAGATGCCTGACTTTAAATGACTGGTAACAGCTTAAAGTATGACCTGCTGTAGGTAGGGGAGGGCTCCTCACATCTTAGCAAGAATCAAAGGCTGATCAAGTACTTTCTAGCTTTCCTTGCCTCCCAGAAGGAACACCCAGCTCCCCACAGCATGGGAGAAAGACGGTAACCCTGAGAAGTCAAATATCCCACTGCATGTTGCTGGGCAGTCTCTGGGCCTCAGTCTCCCATCTCTAAAATGAGGAGGGTGGATGAGGTTCCAGGTATGACTTCTCAGACTCTAGAACCTCAAGGCTCTAACAGGCAAACAGAGTTGATAACTCCAGGTAAACAGACATGTCTTTTTAAAGCATTGAGTGGGCCTGTTCCTGAAATCACCCTCGAAAGACAGCTTTGGCCAGGCATGATGGCTCACATCTGTAATCCCAGCACTTTGGGAGGCCAAGGTGAGAGGATCGCTTGAGCCCAGGAATTCAAGCCTGCAGTAAGCCATGATCATGCCAATGCACTCAAGCCCGGACAAGAGAGCAAACAAAGAAACTGGCTCTATAAAATACATATAAAAATTAGGGGCTGGGGGCCAGGCAAAGTGGCTCATGCCTGTAATCCCAGCACTTTGGGAGGCCAAGGCAGGTGGATCACCTGAGGTTGGGAGTTTGAGGCCAGGCTGGCTAAGATGGTAAAACTCTGCCTCTACTAAAAACACAAAAATTAGCCAGGCATGGTGGTGTGCGCCTGTAATCCCAGCTACTGGGGAGGCTGAGGTGGGAGAATTGCTTGAACCCAGGAGGTGGAGGTTGCGGTGAGCTGAGATTGTGCCACTGCACTCTGGTCTGGGCAACAATGCAAGACTGTGTCTCAAAAAGAAAAAAAAAAGAAAGAAAGAAGAGGGAAGAAGAAGAAAGAAGGGGAAAGAAGGCAAAGGGGAGGGGAGGGGAGCCCTGTGCAAGGTGGGAAAAAAATGAGAAAACCATAACTAAGAATTTAATATCTCACCTTTCCTTTTTTCTTAACAAAAACAAAAAAAGATCATTAGAAGTAACTGAATGAATTTCAAAGGTTTTGGTAGACATGGCCATCTGCTCCTCAGTTCAGGCTGCAGGTGTAACTTCAGCTATTTCCCTTCCTGCCACCGAAATGGTGTATGTTCAGGTGTGGGAAGATCAGGCAGCTGGCTTTGGCAGAGCAGAGGCTTCAGAGAGAAAGCTAACATATTTAGATGTGTATTATTATATCATGTCACCCATAGTGAGTTTCTATAATAATCCTCATAATAACCAAATCCTTTCTCTAAGCATTATCGAAAATGCTTTCCCTCATACTGTCCCATTTGAGCCTTTACAACAGCTCCCAGAGGTGGGTAATAACATTAACCCCATTTTACAAAGGAAGATGTGGAAGTGAATTGCTTCCAGGTTTCACAGCTCAGAAGAGCCAGAGCTGGGCTCCAAGTTAGAGCTAACTGCCTCTGAATTCTGTGCTTGGTCCAGAGTAACTCACTTTAGTAGACTGCAAGTAATTTGTGCCTAAAATATGGGATAAAGAAAAAGAAAAGGTTAGGCACGGTGGCTGTAATCCCAGTCCTTTGGGAGGCCGAGGCAGGAGGATCACTTGAGGCCAGGAGTTCGAGACCAGCCTGGGCAACATGGCAAAACCCCATCTCTACCAAAAATACAAAAATTAGCCAGGCATGGCGGCATGTGCCTGTAGTTCCAGCTATTTGGGAGGCTGAGGTGAGAGAATCACAGGTCAAGGCTGCAGTAAGCCCAGATTGCGCCACTGCACTCTAGCCTGGGCAGCAGAGTGAGACCTTGTCTCAAAAAAAAAAAAAAAAAGAAAGAAAAAGAAAAATACTTTCATGTGAGGTACCGGTAGAATTTTGCTCTGGTTAAATTCAACACTGGCCAGTAGGTCCAATAATAATAAATAAATGTGGCAAGTAATAAAGTAACGAATGTGGCAAGTTTGGCTGAAAAACGGAAGTTTCCATTTATTAGTTATTGGTGTTGATCACCTGGGACTTCCTAAGACTAATGGACTTCAAAATCTTGAAAAATCAAATAGCTTATTTTTTAGCTGTCCATCAAGAGAAGGATTTGGGGTGAAGGATCTATTTTTAAAAGTCTAAAATTGAGAGCACAGGCTAGACGTGGTGGTTCATGCCTATAATCCCAGCACTTTGGAAGGCCGAGGCAGGCAGATCACCTGAGGGCAGGAGTTCGAGACCAGCCTGGCCAACATGGCAAAGCCTCATCTCTACTGAAAATACAAATATTAGCCGAGCGTGGTGGTGTGCGCCTGTAATCCCAGCTACTCCAGAGGCTGAGGCAGGAGAATCGCTTGAACCTGGGAGGCAGAGGTTGCAGTGAGCTGAGATCGCGCCACTGCACTCCAGCCTCTACAACAGAGAGAGATTCTGTCTCAAAATAAACAAATAAATATAAATAAAGTTGAGGAAGAAGTTGTGTTGCTAGCAACCGGCCCAAAGGAAATAATCTGAAAAGCTAAAAAACGGGTCACCCATAGAGTGACAGCAATTGAGCCTAAGGGTCCAACTACAGTGGAGTAAATAAATATAGTTTTATATGTTGGTACCATGAGGTGTTACGATTTTTAATGGCAGCATGTTTCGGGAGTTTCTGACAATGTAGAAGATGCTTATGAAGTGGCACTGAATGAAAAATGAGGGACATAACACTGTATATTTAGAGTGAGTTCAACTATGTTTAAAAATATATACATACAAGTGTGAAAAACTAGAAACCGTTATCTCCAAGTGGCAGGATTACTGCTCCGTTTTTAATTCCTTTTTATACTTGACTATCTTTTTTTCTCCCCCCAGTGAGCATATAAAGCTTTTACACTGCGGGCAAAACAAAAACAATGATTGAAAACATTAAATTAATAGAATACTCTGCCTCATAAATGGAGATGAATGAGTTCTTGACTCAGAAAAGCAAGCACTAGCTAATTTATGTTCACTTTGGGGAAGTTGTGGCGGTGCCACGCAAGCCAAGCTGGGTACCCACAAAAATGCCCCAAATCCTTGGGTAACCTCTTTGCCTTTTCCTACAAGGAAAGTGGAAAATGTATCCATTTGGGGATACCGACACTAACTCCAACCATAGACAACAGCGATGTGACCCCAGGAACGTCTCTAACCTCTCTCTGTACCTCACCTTTATCATCAATAACGTGGCCATAAAACAATAATCCTAGCAGGCCCTGTATAATATGCATGACATCCACTTTCCCTAACACCCATTTCACAGTAAGGCATCACCACTGAAAGAGATTAAGCCGCTTGCCCAAGGTCATGAGTGGAGTACGAATTCAAACCTGGGTCATTGGCTTCAGAGACGGGGCTCCCCCTGCTTGGCCGGGGACCCTCCCCAGACAAATGTGCTATTTCATCTTAAAAAGGCTATACCCCAAACAGGTTGCTGTGAGCGTAACAGCAACACGACATATTACTTTGCTGAATTCCGAAATGCTTTCATGTTGATATATTTAGACCCTTCTGTGGAAGATGAGACTGAAAAACATTGCTGATTAGATTCTGTTTTGATTTGTGAAGGGAAAAGCACCTGCCCCAGAAATCTAATTTCCTGCTAGCTTCAGCCTTTTATGAAGAGTCCAGTGGGAAGGGGTTTGAGACAGACGGGGTTTGACGTGTCGCTCCCGGATTTTTAGCTCTGTGACCGAAGGCCAGTGGTTGCCCCTCTCAGAGCCTCAGTTTCCACATCTGTAAGTGGGGACAGTAATCCCTACAGCTCTCAGGGGTGGTCCTGAGGGTTAAGCATGGGTGCCACATCCCAGTGGGTAGAGCACTTGGGACCGTGAGTTTGGGTCCCCTGGGCCTGACTCCTGGATGAGGAACTCCATCAATGGTGTCTCCCTGCACTGGGAGGATTATTCACTTCTAAGAGGCGTGTCTGAGTGGAGAGGGCCTGGCAACCTAAGTGTCCACTCATCCTAAGCTCGCCTTTGGGAAGAGTTGTGTGCCAGTTCACCAAGCGCCCCCAAGATTCTCCCGAATACCTCCCTTGGTCTACCTGGCAGAAGTCCTCTGGGAACTGGGGTGCCCCAGCTCCTCTTTCTACACTGGTTTCTGAAGAGCCAGATCACTGGGTCTCCTAGGATGTCTGCATGGTTTCCAACACCTTCCCATGCACCTGGCTGGCTCCAAACCCCTCCAGCACTGAGGTCTTGGCCACAACTGTCCCAGTGCAGCCCCCCAGGGAGGGGAGGGCAGAAAGCAGCCTTGCTCAGTGTCCTGTCACAAGGCAGGGACAGGGGTGGGGCCCTCCCCTGGAGTGGGCAGATGAGATGCCCACAGGTGCAGACCCTGGGGAGGAGAGGAATTGGACTTCCTCAGTAGGATGAAAAGTGGCAGGGAGAGGGGGCAGAGGACAGGTTCCTGGCCCCAGGAAACTCAGGTATTGGGAGGGAAAGAGGAAGAGGGTGGTACTGCCTCCTGGATAAGGTGACCAACTTTCCCAGTTTGCCCACAACTGGGGGAGTGGGTTCCAGGGATGCAGGGCTTTCCACGCTAAAACAGAAAAGCTGTAGACTGCCGGTAATGAGCCTGGGCAAGTCCCGGGACATTCACAAACTGTGCCTTCTGTGGAAAGGGAACTGGGCCAGTTCGGGTCTCAGGGGAGCTTTTAACTCTGCCACCTGGGCTGTGGCCCCAGAAGCAGGTGGCCGGGAGGATCTGGGGGTGGCGGGGGCAGGTGAGGGGAAACTGGTGGGCTCTGGAAGGCTTCTCCGCGCGGAGCTCCAGCTGCGGGGAGGCGCGGCCCCTCCCGGACGGCGGGACGGGGGAGGGGAAGAGGCGGGGTAGGTAGGGACTGGGGGCGCGGCAGCAGCAGCGCGCATGCCCGGACCCCGGACCCCGGGCGCCGGGGCACCGGTTGGGAGCGGAGGGCGCCTACCTGCAGGCCGTTGGGATACGCGTCGCCCTCGGAGAGTGAGTCCACCAGGTCCTCCTCGTCCAACGTGGCCCGCTTGTAGGTCGACATCTGCAAGGCCAAATGCAGCACGGACTCCCTCAGCGCCTCCATGGCTCTCGCGCCCGAATGGGGAAGCGGCCCCGACCCCCGCGCCGCCGCCGCCGCCGCCGCGCCCCGCCCCAGCTAGGACACCCGAGACCGAGACCGGCCCACGGAGCGGCCCGCACGGGGAGGGGTCCCGCCCGCCTCCCGCCCCCGCGCTCCGGGCCGCACCCGCCTCACCCCCAGCGCCGACAGCAGGGCGGACACCGGGGGCGGCGGCCACAAGCCCCGCATGCTGCGCCCCAGACGCCTGGTCCCGCTGCCCGGGTGGCCGGGATGGGATGGGCCGGACCAGGAGTTGCACCACCTTCGTGGGCGGGGCCTGATCAGTGCGTCGGCGCCCGGTTCCCAACCTCCGGCCTCCCGGGGAGACCCCAAGTCCCGAGAGGCCTGGGGGAGATGGGGACCCCTCCCTTCCCCGGAGGTCGGGAGAGGAGGCCCCCAAACTGAAGCCCCTAGCAGGCAGGAAAGGCCCTCACAGTGAGTTCTCCTTCGAGAAAATCTTAAGTCCCCCTTCAACAATGGGGTCCCCAGTGGCAGATAACAAAAGTCTCAGGAAGGTGCCCTCGATTTGGCCCAGAGCAATCAAGACAGGTTCCCCTCAGCATCAGCACTTAGGTGTGTCTAGGGGGTTAATGCTAGAAAGACCAGACAAAAAAGGTGGAGTAAAAAGGTAGGTGTCCCCTTTCAGTTCCCCTTTCTAGCTCAGAGGCCTTTAAGCCAGAGTTTGTGAATGAGTTTCAGAAAATTTCATGTAACTCCTTGACACGGGATGAAAGAGCTGTGTGTGCGCATTTGGATGGCTGCAGGGTGGTCCGGTGGTCACCCCCGTGCTCAAAGGTATCGCCCTCCCTGCAACACAAGAGAACCACTGCTCCAGGGACGTCAGAAGCCAGGAAGGGGACCCTTCTTTCCCATCTTCCCCATCAAGAGTCTGAGCCTCAGCCAGGTGCCCCCTCCCCCCAGCCCCTGAGCCCTCTCCTATAACCCTAAGCAGGGAAAGGGGGCTCTCTCAGATATGAGGTGTTCAGTTAGGGACTCAGCCCCAGCATTGTCCCAACCAAGAACCCCAGAGAGGTCTAACCCAGCAGATTTCCAAAGGACTCTCCACTTCTAGCAAGATGGGAATCCCTGCATTAATGAGTACCTTTCAACTTTGCAAAGTACATTTCTGTTCATTCCAAATGTGATTCTCACAGTCACACATATGTGTGAATAAACAGGTTTAGAGGAGTGAGGGGCCTGACATCACAGGGACAGTGAGGGCAGTGGCTCCTAATGGTCTCCTGGCTTCCACTCCTGCCCTCTGACAGCCCCCTCGGCAGCCAGGGTGAGTCTTTAAAATGAAATCTGGCTGAAACCAGGCGCCGTGGCTCGCTCACGCATATAATCCCAACACTTTGGGAGGCCAGGGTAGGTGCATCACTTGAAGTCAGGAGTTCAAGACCAGCCTGGCCAACATGGTGAAACTCTGTCTCTACTAAAAATACAAAAAATCAGCTGGGCCTGGTGGCATGCGCCTGTAATCCCAGCTACTCAGGAGGCTGAGGCAGGAGAATTGCTTGAACCTAGGAGGTAGAGGTTGCAGTGAGCTGAGATTGTGCCACTGTACTCCAGCCTGGGTGACAGAGTGAGACTCGATCTCAAACCAACAAACAAAAAAACCCCACAGAAATCTAGCTGGGTGCAGTGGCTCACATCTGTAATCCCAGCACTTTGGGAGGCTGAGGCAGGAGGATCACTTGAGTCTAATTCTAGGTCAGCCTAGGCAACACAGACCCCATTTTTTTTTTTTTTAACAGGCGTGGTGGTACGTGCCTGTAGTCCCAGCTACTTGGGAGGCTGAGGTGGGAGAATCGCTTGAAGCCAGGAGGTGGCAGCTACAGTGAGCTATGATTGCATCACTGCACTCCAGCCTGGACGACACAACAAGATCTTGTCTGAGTAAATAAATAAAATAAAAATAAAATTCTGATATTACCACTCCCTTGCTTAAAACCCCTCCACTGTCCCTGGAATCAAATCCAAACCCTTCATTGGGCCCCATGGCCCCTGCCCACTCTGGGCCCTCATCTTGTGCTACCTGCCCCCCCACCTCCTCATGCAGTTCCTCAGTTTCTACAGTTTTCCCCCTTCCCATAAGACCTTTGTAGCTAGGCCGGGCGCGGTGGCTCAAGCCTGTAATCCCAGCACTTTGGGAGGCCGAGACGGGCGGATCACGAGGTCAGGAGATCGAGACCATCCTGGCTAACACGGTGAAACCCCGTCTCTACTAAAAATACAAAAAACTAGCCGGGCGAGGCGGCGGGCGCCTGTAGTCCCAGCTACTCGGGAGGCTGAGACAGGAGAATGGCGGGAACCCGGGAGGCGGTGCTTGCAGTGAGCTGAGATCCGGCCACTGTACTCCAGCCTGGGCGGCAGACCGAGACTCCGTCTCAAAAAAAAAAAAAAAAAAAAAAAAAAAAAAGACCTTTGTAGCTGCTGTTGTCTCTGTCTGGAACATTTTTTCCTCCTCTCTACTCCTCCCATGGTCAGCTCCAACTTCACATCTCAGCCTAGTACCTCCTCAAATGTCCCAGGAACCCTAAGCAGTCCCCCAAATTCTCCATTATAGCATCCTGTTCGTTTTCCTTTATAGTACTTGTTGCAGGCTGTTTTGTTTTGTTTTCATGTCTTTATCATCACTCTCTCTGCCCGTCCCCGGAATCCACAGCTTTACTGGGGCTGGGACCTTGTCTGGCCTGTCCAAAACAGACTTTCCATCACCCGGCACAGAGTAGGTGCTCAACAAACAGTTGTTAAAATCAAAGGGGGCACAAGTAGAGGGGAAGTGCCTTTAAGTTCTCAAGAATTCTCCTGCATCTAACTTCATAATACCTACAGAAATAGGGAACACATGTAAAGGTCACAGGCCCTGGGGAGGCAGGGTGCAAGAGTTTCCATTACCCATCCCAGAGAGAGGGGGGACTCTGAGGCTGCTTCACTTACTGCTGGGTTGCAGATGGGCTTTTTCTAGAATAGGACACTTGGTTATACTACATACCAGGTGTCGATCGCCAGAGGAAAAGACTTGAAAAGGAAGTTCAGTTCACCGAACATCTCCCCTGGGCACTTGGGTGGTGTAAGGGATTTGTCAGTTCTTTTACACCCACCATCTCTTTTAAGCTTCTCACCCTTCCCTGGGAAGCAGGTATCACTGGTTCCTTCTACAGAGAATGAAACTGAGGTTCAGGGAAGTAACTTGCCCAGGTGCGGTTAAGCGATGGCTCCTCCTCCTTCTGTCTCATTTCAGAGATTTCCCCTTCTGGCAAGCTCTCCTGACTACCCTCCAGGGACCCCAGACAGCATTTGGTCCCTGGCTCTGTGTCCCCATACAGCCACCCTACCCCATGCTGCCTTTTACTGCACACAGCATTTTAGACAGAATCCTGATGGCAGAGGCTCGGTCTCGTGGGACCCTGTCTCCTTAAGGGCTTAGTCTGGGACTGGAACCTCTACAGATGTTTGAGCGAAGGCGGGAGGCAAGGGAGGGAGGCCGGAAGCCACCCCAGGGACTCTGATGTCTACCCTGCAGCAGCCTGTCTGTGGACAGATGATGCAGGAAGCTCACGGAACTCCCAAGCAGAAATCAGCAGAGATGGAGCACTGGTTATTTTTCAGCACACAAAAGCCAAGGGCCCCTTCCTGAGATGCCTGCCTCAGCACGGTAATGAAACTGAACCCACCTCAGATGGGAAAGGCTTGGCAGGCTCTGCTTGGTGGGAAGTCTACAGTGGGTAAGTAACATTTCAATAGCTGCCTGGGGCCCTTCACCCAGGGCCTTCCATTCACTACCTCAATGGCTCCCCACACCCACCTAGAGCCTCAGCCTCACAGGTATCACTTCCAGCTTACAGAACGGGGGAGGGGCCTGGACAGACCAAAAACCGACCATGCCACTTGACAAATTCTCTCCTAACCCCACAGTGCCTCGTCCGTGAGATGGGAATCATCACCTCTGCTTTACAAATGAGATGACCAAGGGTTGGGGAGGAGAAAGGACTTACCCCTCAGCCCCGAGTCACCTGCCTGGAGACTGAGGGAGCCAGGATGTGAATCTTCCCCCTGCCAAAGCCACTGACTCCATTATGCTGCCTCCAGAGAACCTGAGCCCTGCGGTGAGAAAGCGGCAGAGCTGGGCCTCGAACCTGGGTCCTGGACTCTTGGTCCCATGTTCCTTGTGGAAGGTAGAACTGCTTCTTCAGGTGGGAACCTCACAGAGTCTGGGTGCCCTGGGCAGACAGGCTCTGGGCTGGCAGGGCAGCCACCACTTATTCTCCCTAATTGTCTCATTTGCGGTTGTGGGTGCCACACCTGGCCCCGAGAGCGTCGGGGAAGGAAAAGAACCTCTGCTTTGGTCTTCTCAGTTCCCTTCCTGGCACTGTGCAGTCATGGAGGAGAAATCTGGGTTGAACCTGGGTCTGTGTTGATGAGAAGGGCCTGGCAGAAACCAAGAGTGGAGGGGTGGAACCACAGCTCCCTGTGGACTGCCCCATCCTCAGTCCCCAGTGCCCCAGCCGCACAAAGGAAGTGACGACAGCCAGATGAAGGTGCGACGGTCCCCAGCTCTGGAAACTCCACCCTGGGAAATCAAAGGCCTGGGGTGAGCAGAAACGAGAAATATAAACACGCACAGGTTTCTGGTAACAAAAGCCTCCTGGTCTGGTGGCACCTGGGCATGACCCCCTTTGCCCAGACGACATTAGTCACTCATTTGGCTCTTGTGTTTGGATGGCCAAAGGCAGGCGATCGTTAAGGCATCTTGGGGTGTGAGGTGGAAAACGGAAGCCCCACAAGTGAAATTCTGAGGCCTGGGACTGAGCCACACCCTCCACAGCTGTTTTCACATTGTCTCTAAGCCTCAGCTCCTTAGAGACTCTGCCCTTTGTGGCCAAAGTCCCCATCAGTTACTACTTTTGGTGCTGGTA